TGGGCTGTCGAAGAGTTTTCAGCAACCTTGTGGGTCAGTCACTTGTTTGGACCAACGCAGATCAATGGTTCTGATCACAGTCACACCTGACAGAGCATTCGGTGAAGTTTATTCGTCGACACTGGATAGGACGCATCGTGACGATTAGGATGGAATCAATCTTATTAACTCTTTGCTCTCAAAAGATTGTGATCGACATTTTCTAATGGGGGCTATACTATAAAAAACCCTGAGCTTTCGCCAAGGTTTTCCAAGCTTTTCCTACAAATAATCAGCTAGGGATTTTTGATTTATTGAAAATAATCATAAACTACTTATGACTGTATAATATCTATATTTGGCAAGTTCTTGCATGCTTTTGTTGTGAAGTTACGTGCACTGCATTCAGTGAGTTTGGGATGAGTTTGTTCGTTAAATATTCAAACAGAAATTTAGTCCAAGTGAATAGCAGAAACCAAATACTGACTGAATCTAGTTTCATCCAACGATGTGGTCAGAGTGGACTTATTGATCGAATTCGACCGAGAAGTTATGGCCCTAGGTAATTCACACAATCTGACCCTGTAAAACAGCCAATGTGGCGCCCTTGAGCCCAAAGTTCAAATTCACAGTAGTGTTTTTTAGTCTGACTTAGCAGAGTTATACTTCCTGATAATTTTGTCCTATCTCGAAGTGGTCTATGAATTCCTCACTTGGGTGGGGCCAGAGGACCGAACAGGTCATCTCATATGCTTTATCCGAGTGTTTTGTCTTTGTAATTATGTGGTTTTCAGTCTGAAAGTGAATGGATGAACGTTCTCGCTTTGAGTTTAATGTTCTAAGATCACTAAATACTTCTTCCGAATCTGGTGAAAACATCAGGTCAGTACTTTTGAAAAAAACAACTTATCAACGACAGAAGAACTGATAGCACTCCGTAGATTTCGGTAACTTGATCACTGCTCCCAGTCTGCCGGATTTCTCGAAGAACCGTTTTGGAGCAAACACTCGAATGGTCAAAACAAGTTAAGAGAGATCAAGCATTGACTTGGCAGCGAAGAATGAAAGCTATTACCGGCATAGTCAGCTGCACCGATCATTCCTGTCTCCTTGGATAGGGACCTCGAGACGGGACATTTCAATGATGGGAGACATTGTCAGACATGATCCAATGGTGCACATGCATCTAAGCTGTTGCCTTGAATTTATAACCTCCCCTCCCAATCTCCCCAAAAAAAAGTTGCCTTAATTATATCAGCAGTCGCCTTCAATGCGTAGCTATCTACCTCTATCTCCTCAAACCATCGGTGAACGAAACACTGTGGCAGCTACATCCACTGTACACCAAGTACGCGCTCTTTTGCAGCTGAAGATGACGATGGTAATGAAATGTTTCTGAGGAGTTGGTTATTAAATTATATCAGTGCCCACTGATACATTTTTGTTGTTGGCCCCATTCTTGTGGCTACCCAGTAAAGGCCAAGACGAATGATTAGCTACGCCATTTTATATTTAATGGCAACTGTATGCCTGTATATGATTTCTACCTCTATGTGTTTCCTGGTGAAGTGAAGTTTTCACAACAGTGTTCGATAGCTATTTTGATAAACTTCAATCCACGTGATATAATATCAGTGCACTGGTGTCACAACAGAAACTTGAGAATGAGACCGCCTTGAACAAGGTTTTGAAACTCACAGTTATAAAAGGCATCAACTGTGCAGACGTTTTCGTGCTTGCAGTCATTGTGTGTCGGCTGTAAGCTGTTAGTGGAGACTCTCGGTGGAAAAACTTAGAAACATCACTGAGAGTGTATAAGCCCAGCTGTGAGTTAGGCAGTTCTAAAAGACCCATGTGGATGGATGCTGAACTAAGCGCCGCCTGGGCAAATCAAAGACAAAGGAGTCATACAATATGCCATGATACACAACTAAGATGCACGGAAGGTTGAGAACACGAAAACCAAAACCTACTCACACCAAGAGAATTGTGTGAAAACTGAAAGAATGCCGTTTCAGAGCATTTTACGTGTGAGCGTACCTGAGAGTGTGATGTTGGGTTTCATCAGCCAAACCTGGGTCACCTCTTACAATAAGGCTTTTGGGCCAATCAATAATCCTGAGAAAGAGCTGATTTTCCAGTTGCAAACGTCGATAATAAGGCACCTTGGTATCCGATTGTTTATGTGTATGTGCGGTATGTTTATAAGGGTCAACTGGTCGTTGAAAGATTTATTACACTCAGTTCTTTGTTTAGTTTTCTAAACAGCTTAAGATGCACATATATACTGGTCAATTTCAGGTTTCCATCACTGCGACTTTCAAAGGTCACCTGATTTCTCCTCCTTGAACCTCCCGGCTGGCAGTACCTATTAACTTTTGTCCCAACCGTGTGCCTATCCAACTGGTAGGCAATAAAGTGCGTTCATATGGTCGTTTGATTAAGCCTTACTTTGGTAACTTCCTTCCAGATTTTCAGTTTGTGAGACATGGTTGTTATGACAGTTTCTACCGCCCAGTGAACTGTCCCTAAAGCAGAATCCAAACGCACCCGACGGAAACTTCTTACATTGCTAGACCGGTATACTTGAGGATACAGAAGCTCGCCACAAATCAATGGGGAGACTGGTTAGTTATGTAGAGCGAACAGTCATCTGTCACGACTAAGGTAGCTCATCTGTGTTGATTGCTTGATGGATGTGTGAACCAGCTCAAGGCGTTCTCCAGGCAAACTGTGTTAAGCACAGATTATGGAAGTGGCTTCAGTTAACAACTTTCTTCTTTAAACTGAAGTGAATAGCATGCGACGTTTGATTTGTACGCTGTCGTTCCTCTACCGTTCTTACCATTCCCCTACCTTCTTGCTTTTTCATAGTGATCCACAGGCAGCATCAAGCCCTATTCAGAATCCATGTGTAAGAAGACTGACACGCACACCTTTCCCTAGAAAGGAACAGACAGTACCACCGGATACGGATCATTCAGACGATGGTAGAGATAGTGGACGAGGCACACTTTTTCACTCCAGCCCTCACACTTGTGATGATTCCAAAGATACGTACAGCACTGAAAACCGAACCTCCGTAGATTCACAAGACTCTACTTGTTCTCCCACTCCGTGCACGTACAGAGGTAATAATTCTACTCCAGTCGTTGTACGTCATCATACGATCCAAGCTAACTATTACAAGGACACCATGCCGTCGCCTGGCCCTCTTCAATCCCATTTTGAAGATGGAAATTCTCCAGTGGACTACAGGATGCCGACCCAAGAAGCCTTCATGTATTCTCGTTTACCGGTGAGCAGGGATGACAGGCCGCGCTCGTTTTGCATCCTATGATGCCTATTTTCCCACGTTGAAAAGCCGTACCGTGCAGTTCGAACTTTCCAACTAAATTTCCATGTTTCTGTCTGCTGGGTGAGATGATCAACTGGCTGAGATATGAATCACAAAAGCTCAGGGGTAGTCTAATTTGCATCACTTCCATTACTGACAGAATAGCAGTGTTTTTCACCCAGTGTCGCTCTGCTGTAAAGTTGCTTATACTTGCAGCAGTAACAACTTTGCACATATGTGGTTCTACTAAGACTTCCAACATTTCCACTGGAAGGTATTCAACGGTGGACAATCGAGGCTAACTAATCATGAACGGCACTTACAAACTAGGCAATAACAGTTTTTTTCAATGGAAATCACGTTTCTAGTTGGTGTCGTGACACTAGTTAGATGACGTTGGTATTCTCCGGGAGTGTTTTTCCCTCCTCTGTTGTGGTCACAAACACTAACGTTGTGGTCACTTGAACCTGCGCTCGCTGCTCAAAACCGGTTAAGTATTTGACTGTTCTTTCGTGGGTGCGCGCCAAATACGGATGCCAAGCCTTACCATCTGTGAAAACGGCTTGTACATAAGTTGGACGTCTTTACAGACCGAGAAGGTCCTTATGATATACGATAGCTCGTAAACTCTGCCACGATTTAACTTTTCGATATACTTGAGCTGTCCGAATGGAAGGTGTGCCCCTTAGAAAGACCGAGAGCAATTAGCTTCATGAAATAGGTCAAAACGAACGGGAATTCTGCTGCTTTTTGGTACAGATCACGTACTATACATCGCGGCCGGTCGAAGCGACATTTTTGATTCACCATGGAACTATCTTGAGCTGTCTACCTGAGTAATCCCTTTTGTGCGGTACACATGACGTTGTCCTTTCTGCAGTTGGTTTCCATGAGGCCCAAACATCATGAGTTTACGTGTGTTTATTTCCAGATAGGCAGAAATGGCCCAATCGCGCAGTCAGTGGCGCCCATGCATCAAAGCTATCACCATCAATAGGTAGCTACCCAGTTCCTGAGCTAACCAAACATGTCATAGCCTCCGAAGCTTGGTTGAATATTTCACACTCACTTTCCGGTGATTAAAAGTGGGGACCATTATGTCTGGTGTACACGGTCTATAACTGACAAATTGAATTGAATGGACATAAGGCATTCTATAGGTACAGGAAGTAAATAAAGCAATAGTTTCATTCAGGGAAAGATGACTTTCGTCGCATAACGAAAAATCGTCCCATGTAAATGGCACCACACTAATTTGGCTTGGCCCGGTCACCTATGACACCATGCCCCGGGTAACTACGGCCGTGGATGCAATTCTTTGTTGATCTTGTCACTACGAATGGATACCTCAGTTTGTCATCCCACAAAATCGCTTCACAAACATCCAAGGATTCTCCTATCCCGTTAGGAGTTTTACGAAGGTGTATCAACTGGGCTTAACAAGTGAAAACGTTAGATCATTACTGCCCAAGTATTCTAACTCCAATGAAATTAACCGTGGTAATGGATAGACGTTGGGACAGAAATCTGCCATTGAGTTTAGTGACCTCAGGAGCCTCTTCAGAAGACGAATTAGTGACTGACGTTCAGTCCATACCAGTGTTTTCTGTCAGCCGTGATTTTATGTGCAAAACCTTCGAAGAAGGGTCATGTCACAGAAGAGAACAAACAAGTGCTTTAAATGCATTAGGTCATCAGGACTCTTTAAGAACCACCAAGAATGGTGAGTAAACGTTACGACCAACCAAACCGGATAGACTTCGTTTGTCGGGGTAGCCAGTTCCCGCATATTTTTTTACTTTCACAAAATCTTTGCTTTGTATTCATGGGCCGAACCTTGCAGCCTGATACGGTAATAATTCAAGAGACTGACAGGCGCGTGTTTTGTTTCTCCTAGGAATGGGACTTTTTTGGACCATCTTATACTAGGCACTCTCTCGTTCTGTGATCTCCCTTCGGAGGCACCTATCTATATGGGACTACCCGACTCATCGATAGACAGAAACACCAAGTACAGGTTTTCCCTATCCTTGCTTTGTCCGGGTGTCAGCAGAAAACTGCCAAACCTCGATGATGATTAGTTCAGGCTACTGCTAGATCACGTGACAATCGTAGGTCATGTACTTTGAACATCAGCTTCGAAGGTTATGATGAGAATCCTACTATTCCTCAAGATCCAACAGGTTATTTTGTCTTCATCAGTCGTAACATTTTTATTCTTTCTCTCTTTTTCTCATTAGGCTTACAATAATGGAAGTTATCCCACCAGAACGGATGGTTACGAGCTACCTTGTCGTGGAACATTTGCATTTACCTCACATATACCGTATGAGGTTGAGGTGAAGAAAGCGACTCCCCCGTATTCAGATGAACCCTACTTTCCGGTTTCCCATAGGGTTATGCCTTCTATGCAAATGAGACCTGCCCACCAAGCAGCTAGTGTGCAAGAACTATACGATGTTTCCAGCGTTTCCGATATACATGTTTTCGCACCAGAGTACAACAGACCACCACCCTATCCTTCACTACAAGCTCACCGCTCCCATCCAAACCCTCAAAACTTCAATGTTGGATCAAGATCTCGGACTCCGGATCCGATGAGATCTGCCACTCGAGGCATTCGCCCGGTAGACTATGAGATACAGTTCGAATCCCAGCCTCCCTCAGATTCAGGCTACTATCCAAACACTACCTCTCCCGGCTATGATCCACTGCCTCATTCGTTCCAACCACTCTACTACGATCGAACTCACTTCGCTATGCCGACCCGTTCCTCTCCGTCATTCTGGTAAGTTGCATTCAGATGATCGGGTTCAGATCAACTCAGTACTGTTTGTCAGCTGTGGATGCATGTATGGAGCATATGGTAGATAGATGGGCAACCTGTGTATTTGGTGTAGAATTGAAGGGTACGGTGGGTGCTGAAAGTACTTGAAAAACAAAATACTAGTGGGTTAATAGTCAGCAATAAGAGGACGGACACGAGAACACCACCCGCTGTGTGGTATCACCATTATAGACATCCAGTCATTGATATGATAGGAATCTGGTAGCTGAGCCTCACACATGACATGCACCAATTCAACTAAGGTCGATTGTTATGTTTCTCCTACCCCACCCCAAATCATGCGTTGCCTACCTTGTGTTAGCTTGCAGTCTGGAAGCGCTTCGCCAATAGAGCACGGTGAGGGTACCGACCAGCTAGCATTCTAAATGATCTGACATTTAGGTCATCCACATCTGTTTGCCGTCTTGAATATTCAAATTTGCCCTGAAAACTCTCACCTCTGTTTAGCAAACAGACTTCCAAAAATCAGGAAAATAATGATCAAGGTTTAGAATGTTCCTAGTCCGCAACCACATTGCGCCTATCAGTAAACAACTATCCGGGACTTGCTTGTGAACGTGATCGGTTGACAAAACAGTACCCGTCTGTCTCAGGTCCAAATATTGTTGTGATGTTATTGTGGTTGACTATCCTGTTGTTTGGGTCAAAACTGCGCCACGGGAACATTCTGTGGTCCAACAAACTTCTGGTTTATCAAGATTCGAAGGTTTACAGTTTGTAATAAATAGTGTTGCGCTTCCACACGACGCAACATCAGGTTTGTTACTGTTCTGATTGTAACCTGCTAGGTGTAGACAAGTCGAAACCACATACCGGATACCATGAAAGTGCACCGTCAGGATATCTTGTACGGAATTCTCTTACATCTGTACCAGGAACCCCAGGTACTTTATTTGGTTTGTGACACAGTTAGTCGATAGTTTTGGAGGGCCGTTGTAAATTTTCGATTCCGATTTCTGTTCCCGGAGTTATTTTTTTGGTTTCACTCTCCTAAGCGAGTCACTCGTTGAAGGCTACTCGTCAGCTTAAACAACCTACTCTCAGGATATTGAATGATATCACTTCGTATCTACTTAGGAAGGCCTGTCCTTGGAGTTTAGAATCCTTGAGCTTTGAATCAGTGAACAAGGGCATGCCTATTAATCCAAGTGAATACACATAAACTAATCTTAGACTTTGAGGGAGCTCAGGTGGCACAGTAATTATTGTGGTTTCAGTTCCCACATTCTGTGTGCTTGAGTTTTGAAACCTCCGATTAGCTTCTTTGTTCCGAAAACCAAAATCATGGAAGTTTCCATGAGGGGTTTTCTGTATTATTCATTTAGGGCAGTGGCGTCTGACTGAACCGGGTTCGGTATCAGGCTATGTGCCTAGCCCCTATTCAAATCACAAACAACGAGGCTCATTTACAGTTTGTTCGGTTGACCTGGATTCAGCCCATGCATAATCAAGCATAACCTACAGCAAATATCCTAATGAACATTCCGACCGTTTCCAGAGCAAAAGTTCTCATCTGGAACCTAGTTTTGACAAAATTAAAGAGTTTGTCCTCACTCTGCAGTTTAACCTGCAATCGACGTTTTCTCACCCTACCTGGGTTCGCACTACCTGTGTTTCTCACGAAATCATTGTCAACTCCCGTGTGCATTTTGTTTATTTCTGTATGCATCAACCATTCAATAGAACGGATGACACGATATTCTTGCACACTCTACTGTCCATGCAGGTCGTCTGATACGAATATTTCATGTAAGCAGTGACCGTCTTTACACGCTTTGAGTGCTGTTTCTGATTGTGCTGCGTGTTTACTGATGCGCCCTGTGCGGGCTTGCACACTTGGCATGTGATCACGATGTGCTGTCCATTGTTGCATGCGTCCGTTTGGCAATAACCTGCCTATGCTGGTTACTGGATCATGTGCAATTTGATCTTTGTTCAGTGTAACGTACGCTTACTAGTGATAAGGATGTGAACTACTTTTTATTGAGTTGTCGTGCATATCAAGTCATATCAAGTCCGTGTGCCACAAAATATCGGTTGTTCAGCTTCCGACTAATGATAGACTGACCGTTCCTTCTGATCGGTCATGAGACAACCTGATTTGGGGATTGTTAATGTGCCCAACCTTACTTTGTTGAGAGGTTTCTGATATTCCAACGTGCACACAGCCCTGCTTATCTGAGAAATTTCCCACCATGGTGCTTTGCATATCGTCATTCTCCGCGTGTGCGAATTAGATAGTTCAGAATTTGGCTTTTCACCTGAGGATCCACAGGTCCGTTTTGGGGCCCGAGTGGGCCGGAAGTCGTGTTAGAGACATGGAGTTCTTATCTAGCCTCCGCTCTTTTGGGACGATCTGGCAACACTACACTAGCCATACGGTTACTGATATTGTCAGTCCTATGATATCAATGCATTAATTCTATCTGTACACATTGATATTGACAGGGTAGATAATCCGCATTGGAAACACGTTCAGATTGCATTCATCGCCTTCTGGGGGGAATATCCACTCCAGATAGCCCAAAAAATATTTAGTCGTAAGCAAAACATAATAAGTGATCAGATGCCATCACGAAATTCTCAACAAAGCATAGGATTCCTGAGGAAACGTTATAGAGTCAACCACGTACCAGCAGAAGCAATTTTAGCTGGAGGCCAACAGCTCTAGAATGTTAGTAACTCACCAAACAAAATGAAGTAAGTGATGTTGGACAGTGTGCCAAGTCAGGTGGTATTGGAACAGATGAAACCGAAAACAGTGAAGTGATCGATGCACATTCAGCTGAATCCGTGCTGATATGCGTTGTAAGTTGCCAACTTGTGGCTCGCAGCTGATAACCTGATACTTGAACTTCATGACTGCAGCCTCACTCCCATGAACGGCGCCGTCAATAGTGACTCAACCAAACTGGGTTGCACCGGTCAACTTGTACTGTTTAATAAGAGATGATGCACTCATGTTTCCGGCGAATTCGTCGTCTACATTTATTACCTTTGAGTCCAGTTCTTCCACGGCACTGGGGAGTGCAACAGATTGAAGCATCTAACCTTCTGCTCATCTTAATGGAGTTGATCACTCTGGGATGTGCCATGAGCTATACCAATAGGTCTTCCTCTCCCCTCGATTTAGTGCCGTAGTGACATGTAATCTAGTGCAAAATCAAATCATCCGGCTGTCGCACCAGTCCAGGACCGAGATGTCTGCAGTTTACTGAGTCTTAGATAACACCTGTCAAAAACAAAGGGATGCTTCCAACCAAGAACCTATCAGTCGGTTGAATGAGTAGGTATAAGACATCCGTCACACTCAAACTCCGATTTCGCTCATTCACTGTCCCTCACCCTCAAACCGGTCTGCCAGTACACGGTAAGCAGGCGTGAGAGGCAACATCTGAGATCCCAGTGCTTATCGCTTGGATTGACTTTGTAGAATTTCTGAATCGACCCAACTTAAACTTAGAACACCGTAGATTCAGTTTTTGTCCGCGGGCTCACAATTTTGTTCTCGAATGATGGTGTCAATCAAATACATCTTCCTTTGCTGACTCAACATCAATGACAGCGACCACACCCATTAAAGTAGTCAGTGGTTTAGCCTCTCCAAGTGTGAATGAACTGATGCTCAGTCAGGTCCAGTCCTATATTGATTACGGTAAAAATTGCACCAACCACAAGAAAATGGTGATATGCCTGTTCAAAAGAGATCTTTCATCATCTAACAGATTATTTGGATCTTTTTACAGGTTATGCTTGGAACAGTGCCACCAGACGACTTCCTGTTTTTCAATAAATGCCCCAGTGACATCGCACAGACCGGGACTTTCGAAATGAATAAGTTATTCCTAGGCATGTGTGTAGGACGATGACACGACCAAGGTACGTGAAAAAACAAAGACCGCCTCCCCGTAGTCATCTGTGATGGACATTGACCTGTGGGCAGATATTTCATCTTGCAAGTGGAGTCACTCCATGCTGAAATGCTTAGAAGAAATATATACAGCTACTTCATCTTTGTTTGGAATCACCAGTAGTACATAGCTCACATCTCTGATGGCATTCGAACTAGCTATTTTCCAATTAGTTTTTGACCACTAACATTCGTCCACAAGCGGCTGATCAGTAGTATGCTTGACTCGCACTTAGCTAGTATGTAACGCCACTCTCCACTTATGCGGCTCCCATCACATGATCACGTGTTGACTAGCCCTTTGTGTGACAAATTCTCAGACTGAACCAGTGAACCTTTTGGTTTTTTCATTTACTGAAGGCCTTTGGAGTAAAAAGAACTACACAAAAGTGGGCAACTACCTAAACGGATGGTTATTCGGCTGACTGTTTTTTTTGAAACTTAATATATTGCTGATTACGTCTATGGCAAGTTCTTGTGTTCAATGAAAAACTTGTGATGATCAATGTCGTAACATGTACTAACCGCTTTTCGTTGGAATGTTCACTAATGGATAACGAATGCTGTCTACATTTCTCATCTCGATTTCGTGATTTGTATTGTCAACCGCCACCAAATGGAATGTTAAGAGTGATGAAATTCTCGTGTCTTTGTTTATTCTACACTGTGTGCTTTACCTGTTTTGTTCGTGCGCAGATTATGAATAGCTGAATCTCGGTATGTTTGGACCTTGGTTCTATACACCACACAAATTCAATCTGTTGTTTACATCTTGGCAGTTACTTTGTTCTATTAATCTGCTTTGTATTTAAGCTAGGACACTTGCTAAGGATTAGCAGTAACGGTAAGGAATGGAGGTAAACTTCCGTAGGCGGGGGAGGTTGGAACCCGCGTCTCCTAGGATAATAGTTGAACCCGCAGCATGTTCTTTCCGTGCCCACAAGCATTTTGCGACACGCCCGAGGGTCATGTGATCAGCGCGTGACCCCTGGCCATCTCGAACCCTTCCACATTCTACTCTTGGGCACTTGCCTTGCTGTGTCGTACGCACATGTTACTTGTTACAGTACACCTACTTGTGTTCTGATCTAACTGCGTTGCCCCTAGACCAATTTTGCAACACTTTAAGGCTCTCTTTCGTTCTGCATAGTCGTGGGCAATAATTTAAGTGGAAATTCCCATGATGTGAGGGCTGGATCAGTTTAGGTAACTGTCTTCTTTAGTCCTACAGCAGCTAATCTGACGTGCTTTAAGAACCCACTATTCTTAGCTTGTGATTCCTCATGTCACCCAGTTAGACTTCCCAGAATACCGCAAATAAAATATGTTACTCAAAGTTTTCTACTCTACGGGACGCTCAATTAAAAGGAAGATGTACAACAACAGTAGATAAATTAAAGTATAGTATAGCATAGTATAGTATATAAAACAGCTACAAAGCAGCCTGTACGAACGGAGCTGTCAAAACTTGTCCCGTAATACAACCACCCTGAGTCAACATTCCTTTAAGCTCCCCTTTTATTTTTCCGTTTCATCGTCCAATAATGTCTAGTGGGACAAGTAGTGCCGAGTTCATCGTGCTTTCTGTCCGGCCAGTGGATTCTTTTTGAACAGAAAATTTGGAGGAGGAAGTTGTGGAAGGTCTGTGGGAACCGGAAGTCAGCGATAAGAAAGTTGGATTAAAACTCAAAGCGCTAGCCTATTTGCGTTTGGAAAGTTATAAGGAATGCTTGTCCTAAGAGTTTGAGTACAACCACAAGTGATTCAGTAAAGCTCAACTCATAAACTCGTCGGTTTTTACGCTGTCTGAGAAGGTTGCACCAAATTCAGTTTGTTACTTTCTGTTTTTGTTACATAAGCCTTTGTGATAGATGCTGTTTCTGTACTGCACTCATATGTGCTGTCTCTTGGTTGCATGACTCAGGTGCAAAATGCACATGAAACTGGTGGTGCAAGTGCCAGTTTGTCACATTCTCTGATTGAATCAGTGATGTTCCGAGCTTCCCCCTGATATCCTGTGGGCGTAGCTGATAAGGTTTATCATTTGTTGGAGAACTCGATGCCCTCGATATCGTTTGGGTATGCCCTACGATCAGGCCATGCGGTGTCACACCAGATTACCCGACTGTCAAGCACTGAGGGAAAGTGGATACCACATTCATGGTTTCGTTGGCTGAAATGGATTTTGCAGAATGTTTTTGACAACGCTTGTTCACCAGACCAGACAGCGATCTTCCCTCGGGTGCACACATGACCTTGGCAGGTGCACTCGGCGAACGTGATGATACATCATCCGAAATTGTTGAAGTTTTGCCGAATGACAGTGCACTTGCCACCAATCAGTACCAACTCTTGGTGAAGAATGTCAGCCTACGTTTTGAAAACATCCCCTGTCGCCGATGAGTCATCATTGGCCTAGATAGACAGTTCTCTTTCTAGACTGATTCATGGGTCGTAAATTTACCCAATCGCATTATTATTTGTCACATTTGCGTACGGTGTATTCAGTAGGCATTTCACAAAATGGCAGTGGCGAGAAACAAATAAACACCGCATACGGACGCTGTAAACCGAAGTTATAAAGTTGTACTGTTAAACAGTAGTGATGTTGCCTAGTAAGCAGCTCCACGTTCACTGCCTTTAGCGACAACTCTTTCTTGGTTGTATACGAATAACCGTACTTCAGCAAGCTGTATGGATCCCACCTTGTTGTTACAGAACGCCCCATTCTTAAATGTTCTCGTTTTACCACCGTCCTTTTGGGCAGTCTGCTAACGATGTGGTACACGGAACCGCATGATATGCCGCTTAGAAGTTCGCGGTCAACTGTAGCACACGTCCTTTTGCCTCTCCTGAGTGTTGATGGACCAGGGAAGGGAAATACAGCTTCCTCAAGTAACAAGAAATGCTTCGCACAGTTGGTAATTTGTTGAAATATTGGTAGCTCGGGGGAGTTTATTGGTTGTTGATCTGTTCGCCGAGCTTGGCAGCTGGCTTGCAAACGTTTCGTCACCATACTATGAGACATCATCAGTGCGCAGTTGAGTGGGGCTTCGCACAGTTCGTTCATTAGGCTTATAGGAAGTGCACCATCGACGCATGCATCTCTGGAGCCCATTTTTAATACTACCAACCATATACTTCATTTTTTGTTGCTGCTTTGTAGTTATTGATCACCTGGGGGTCAGTAGTGTTGATCTCTGGACCGATACCGAACGAACGGGTAGAGGGGTTTCGTGTTTTTGTAACTTAGCATCAGTCCACGCGCGTCTGTTTCAGTTTAATCGGGTGTGCATGTTTATTTCGCAAATTTACATTACATTTTTTTTCAAACCAAGTTTTTTCCACGGACTCATGATTATAGACAGTAGTGTTTCGCAACAAACAGTCAAAATATTCTGGAAAAAGACTGCACTTTTCTTGGTCCGTTTTTGGGAGAAGTCGTCATTTTTTGACTATTTGCGCCTCCCATTGAAAGAATGAATACGTTTATAATTTGAAAATCAATTAAACCTCACATTGGATTTGAATATTCACTTCATTTATTGTGCTTCTTTGCGATTGGATACTTTTTCTGAATTGATGAATCTTTCTTGGTACATTTTCAGGTACAGACGCCGTGAGCTCGAGGCAGTTCTACCTGAGCAGTCGCAGTCGTTACGTGATATTCCATTTTGAATGAAATTTATTACTGGTCACCGCTCAGTCTGACCATGACAACGCGCGTTAAGTACTTCGACTTCGTCATCGAAAACGCCACAGACGAAAACCCTCCATAGCCCATGATTGGTGGCTGCAGTGTGCAATCAAACGATTCACTTCCTCAATACAGCCGACCAAGTATTTTTGTTTCATCTACTTTATTTTTCAGGAGCACGATTATGTAAACTGTATATCCTTTCAAAGAAGTTGAATCAGATTACGTTTTCATTGCATAATGTACATAAACATTAAACTACGTAAAAGTGCCTCGGTACTTTGGGTTATTTACCCTGTGGACAAACGCCTCTGTGGACAGAATGGCCTGTCGCACAGCAGCATGTGTAGAGAAGGTCCGTGAAAGGCTCGCAGTATGCTGCATACTTATATGTAACCGCATTTCATTCAAACGTACGGACACTCTAAAACGGTTACCATTTTTGAAGGGTATCACGTGTGGTCGGTCCATTCAAATATCCTTTCAGTAGACCGTAAGCTGTCTTTCTAAAATAGATGTAATACACCATGCATAAGGTTTCTGAGAACTCTTCAGCAACCTTATGAGTAGCGTATTACGTCTATACAATATATCGCAATATCTCGAACATCGTGCAACCTGAAACATGAGGTGACCTGGTACAGCACGTACATTTGCTTAAAAACATCATAAACGAGAGATTCAGCTAGGTTCTAGGTGAGTCGCCAGGCAGAACTAAATTGGTATGCGATTGAGTGTATTTCGCAGCTTTTTCATACTCTGCACAGGTAAAATGGAAAGACTTGTTAAAATTTGGGGAGTGCACCAAACTAATGAGCCCCAAACTGAGCAAAACCGGAATTTGGTTAATTGTGATTGATCTCAACACACCAGTTACAAGGAAAACTGAAATGTGATTATTTCTTACCAACCTTAAGATGTGAACACTCATGCTGCATAACCTAAGGACACGATAATTCGGGCCACCACCAAACCGAACAAGGATGAGACTGCAAGAAGTGACTTCACAAACATATTGCTAGGCATTATTTGGAATAGCCTTGTTCCGCTTCCATACTACACCTACATTTTTGTGGAACTTTTTACGGACGACTTTTGTGGTGGATTC